GTGTGTGTGTGTGTGTGTGTGTGTGTCGGAAGTGTACACAGATAAGGCTCAGTCCATGCATACAACCGTCCAGGCCTGCCTGTAAAATGGGAGGGGCAAATAGGGAAAGGGAGGAATGTAGAAACCGCAACCGGGAAGGGACGAGAATAGGCCCGCGGTAGAGGGAGCAGACATAGCATTGGACGGGGTCTATTTGGAGTTGGCGCAGCCGAAGGCAGGCTTACGCTGAGCATTCTTGCGCCCCTTCTGGTGGGAGTTGAGAGGTGGGAAGAAAATTTCTTTGGCCGACTCATAAGCATGTCTTGTCAAGGGCAGACGACCAAAGAATTCACATGCCCAAGTCGCCCACACGCATGCACGAAGAGCCTCAAAACTGATGCGCCTATGTATGCACACAAATGCGCATACTTGCCCATTTGCGTGGGGAGGTGACGAAGACACCCATACTCATGAGCTATGATGAAGGGAATAGTGGTCTGGGTTGAAGACTCGCGAGATTAAAAGAATGCTCCCCATTTCGACCTGGACGAACGAGTTTCGCGCCTCAACTTCTGATTGGCAGAAGGCAAGGCCAAGACAGATACAGCTTCTCGGAAGCGTGATCGCGTTGTCCGAGGAAGAAGAAGAGATTACGCAGAGTTCAGTGTTTCTCTCCTTTCTGACCGGCAAGGCTTGAGTCGAGGGAACTCGATCTGCACGAGTGATGGATCTGCGTGTGATTAAAAAGCGCATCGTAGAGCTGATTCCTCCGCCAGCATTGGCTCTCTGCTCGAATCCCACCATTGCCCCCTCCACCGAGATCACCTTCTGCAGGCATGGCCTGCAGCACAGACTCGATCAGTGCCCAGCCTACTCACCCCTCACCGGCGTTCCCGATCTGGCCCAGTTCGGCCTGACTGGGGCTCGAACTCTCGCCCCGGGAACGCGTCATCTCTTTCCGCCCCTCTTCCAGACCACCCGACTGGTACCGGGCCCCCAGATACACGACTCCTTCTCCCTCACCCTAAAGCCGCAATCGTATGCGTCGCCATATTCATTTGCCCACTTCACCTCCGCCCCCGACAGGCTGGATTGCTTGGCTCGGCCAAAGGCCGTTGAGTCGTCCATCAAGTTTCCAAATCTGCCAACAGGTCTTGAGACATGCCGCTCGGCCGTCCTGAAAGAAGATTCACCCTCCAGCCCTCGGTTCTCTGGCCAGTTCTGCTCGCCCCCCCTGCACCACGCCTCAGTTGCACCCTGCGCCAAGAGGCCGAGAGACTGCGGGGCTCGAGCTCGGACCTCGGCCAGTTGTAGAGGTTCGGATCCTCGAAGACGCCACAAACAACGTCGTGTTGGAGCCCTCGCGAGACAGAACCGTTCCGAGGCTCGAGACACGATGGAGGATTCCGAACGCTTTCGGTCCCCCATCAATGGAGTCTGCATTCTTCCGCCCACCTGGAAAGGTGTGAACGGCACCATCGCCATTGGTGA